TCGGCGGCGTGCTTGCCCAACAGAGCAGAGAGGCCTAGCTGGGGCGGGGGAACCTCGTCATCCAGGGGACGAAAAAGTCCCGGGCTCTCGATGGCACCAAGAAGCTTAAAACCCGTAAAGAAGCGTAACCCGACCGTATCATCAGGCCACCTGAGCAGATGAGTCAGCGCGGTAATGAAGGCGGGTTTCCGATCCTTGGCCACGGCCGCTACATCCGGATGCATGGCCTTGCAGATGGCCTCGTCCCAAGGGCGCATGAACCTAGCCAGACGCGACAAGGCTCGGAGCTGTTGTTGCCTCCAAACTCGTATGCATGGGCCTAAAATGCACATACCCCGGCATGCGAACAGCGAATCGTCATCAAGCTGCGCTGCAGTGTCAAAGGGGTTGGGCAAACACGTCGCAAACTGCATGTGGGTACTCTTACCGAGGCCTGGCGGGAGCAAAGGCGGGCTGGCATGTTTAGCATTGGGGCCTGCACCTTGCAAGCCAACTGCCTGCTTCGAGGCAGCCACGTTTGACTGCTGTCTCCACTCGGGTCCTTGCGGAGCAGCCGGCAGGCCTCGCATTTGTGTGTCCACCCAGTAGACCTGTAACTTGGCAAGAGCAACGTTCAAGCCTGGGGAAGGGCACAGGTCGGGCAGGACTACACCAGAAGGGGCTAGGGAGCGACTAGTGAGCCTAGCAAGCTCAGTCCAACCTAAAACACCCGGAAAATTATCAACCAGACCCGGCTGCCACACAGAATCCTGGGCATTCTGTCGTATATGCTTCTCAAGGCCAACATAGGCCGCGGGCGGAATGGCACTGGCTTGCGGGCAGAGCTGAAACAGCATGATAAGCGCAAGCATGCAGGACGGGACATGGAAGCTGTTGCCGATCAGAGAACATCGCACTTGCTCAGCCTGAGTCTCCGACCGGGGCGTCCGTGGGGCCCACTTGAGTGCAGCAGGCGGAATGCCCATGATCTGAGCCCTTTCTGATGAATTCGGCACCCTCCATTGATCTTTCTTCCAGAGCAGAGCATTCTCCTCATAGTTGAACAAGGGGAACCACTGCCCATGTTCACGGAAGCGCTGCATGACGACGGGGTCCTGCCGGGGTCCATGGTCTGGTGGGTGCTTAAAGGCACGGCTGAACACAGGAAAACACGGGCCGTCAGCAGAATCTTTAGCATTCGCAACTGGATCAAAGCGAGGCTTGAAGTCATCTGCGAAGGAAACGCTAGGCGGCCACGGCCGTTTACCCTGCCATCCGAGGCGCCAGCCACCGGCACATGCCTGAGAAGTCACATTCGGAGGCAGCTTGGGCTGCGGCACATCCTGAGCACTGCGGTGGCCATTGGAACACCAGAAAAGTCTTTTGCGTCGAGTCCACCCAAACGAAGCCGCAGACACCTGAACAGGCGGGCCATTCAGGGCTGCTGAAGCGGCTTGAAGAAACTCTGGAGGGCATCCCGCCACGTTTTCGAGCATGGCGAAAACCGGAATGGATAAACGCAAATCCTTCACCACCTGTCTACACTGATCAGCAATGTCAGGCACGGCACGGAACAACTGCGAACGAGCAGAAGCAAGCCCCGGTCTACCAGAGTGCAGTGGGCTGACATCCTGACAAGGGGAGCCGCCCGCCACAAGAATGGCAGTGAAATGGCCTCGTCGCAACTGCACCGCAACCTGAGCCGGGTCAAAGTCGTGAACATCCCCCATGTGTTTGACATGTCGGAAAGTTTTCTGGGTGACATAGGCAGCATCTGGATCGGTTTCCCAGCACATGGCAGCAAAACTGGCACCGAGGGCAAGCAAAGCAATCAACAGCGC